CTGCCCATGAATAGCTCGAAGTACTCGTGGTATTTCAAGCAACTGTAAGGTTCCTCGGCCGGTCTACAGAAGTACCGCTGCAGCTGCGATGTGCCAGACTGCAGGCTTTCGTACTCAGCGTCGTTCTCATAGGCGCCCCAGGGTGCACTTTCGATGTGGATGGGCAGGCACACGACGGGCGGTGACCGCTCGCAGCTGTCGTGGCCGAAGATGCGCCACGCGCACCCCGTGGCGCAGAGGTACCATCCGCGCTGTCACTCGGTTATCTCATTCTTCACGGACGGGCCGAGCGTGACGTCAAAGTTCACCTTGTTTGGGCTTAACAAATACTTGTATAGATACTCAAACGGGTTCACTTGACGTTCGCGTGGCCGTCCCATATTTCCAAAATGTCAAGGGCGTGCTCAACCAGTAGCTGGTTGAAGCACAGATTCCGGCGCCCGTAGACGCGTAGACGGCGCGACCTTGGCTGCAGTTCGGGCGATGCCCCCCGCAAGGGCGTCGCCGCAAGTCGCGCGTCAAAGAACGTGTCCGGCGCTAGCGGCCAAGGACAACCTTTGGCGCACCCTTAGTCTGGGCTGTCGGGACGGCAAACCATTAGTGCACTTGTGGGCCATGTGCTCCAGCACCTTGGCCCAGAGAGGGGAGTCCTCGGGGGCAGCTCGCAGGATACCTTCATACCCACATCTTCCGGTGTTTGCGGGGGGCATTTGGACGAGATGACGATGTGAGCATGTGGTAAGCCCCGTAGTTGGTACTCGATGATCCGGATGACATAATTGCACTCGCCGGCGAAAACCGACCGCAGGTAGGTCGTCATCTTGGCGAGGCGGCCGTGAAAAACGCGACGACGTCGGGTCGGTCGGCTGCTGTTTACCCGGGCAATAATGTGTCTACAATTTCCGGCCATCTTGGGTAGCACGTGAGAGTGACGAACCACGTGGGCCGTCCTCTGCGGCGGCCGAGCTCGAGAGCATCGATGCGCGGGCGGCGCAAATGTCTGGGAGACCCGTGCACGGACGAAGGCAGGCAATATGTTTTCGTGTTGTGGTCGCCGGGCGGAGGTTCATTCGCGAACATCTCGCACTGGTGATGCAATGTTTGCCTGCGTGCTGCTTGCTCCCGTTTGGCGAGGCTGATTCGTTCATCTTCCATGCGGCAGTACACGTTGACCAACCATTCATTCAGGAGTCGACCACACATGCGCAGATGAGGCAGACGCAGAAGCTGTTGTCAGTGCCACCACATTTGGGAAACACGTTGCGTTCCAACACGCACGTCGAGGCTCCATCCTCTCCCCCCCGCGGATACCATAGAGGGTAGCTGAACGGTTCGTGCAACGGGCTCAAAGGATGGAAATACTGCGGCTTTGCAGTTGCAGTCAAACGGAACACGACGCTTCGAGGCGGCGTGGTGGCGTCAGGTCGCTCGCTAATGATGGCAAACACTTTGCCGACGCCTTCGTGCCATTGCAACGTAACGGTTGCCGCAGACGCGCGAGACTTCAAAGTAGCCCATCGACATATATCTTGCATGTGTGGGTTCTGCGGCAGGATGATATTCTCGAGTTTTCGTAGAAGCGTGACGTCCAGGCCGACCTTGCGAGCTGCATTGGTGCGCTCGGCGGGATCTACCACGAGGTACCTCAAGGGTGTTTGGTCAACTGCTGAGGGCACTCTTCGATACATGGTCCCATGTATGCGTACATTGGCCGGGGTCCAGGCGGTGCTCAAATGCATCTCCCGTTGGAGCGTCGAGCTCTCAACTTCGTGAGCGGCCAGAAAGAAGATGTTGTTATACTTCCGGGATGCGGCCGAGAAGCCCGTGAGGCGCACTTGGTGGATGACGTCGTCGAGAACGGTATGGCCGTCAGCGTGTTTCAGTGGCCACGTGGAGGAAAATATGGTTAGCAAATCTTGCAAAGGACTGCGAAAGTACTAATCGAAAGGAATGGCATATTTGCCGTGCTGGCAGCAGAAGCCGTGTACTTCGTGGCTCCAGAGCGTCGCTTTGCAGTGCTTGCATACAGCGGTTTGGGCGCCCAGCTTGATGTCGGGAAATGGTCTTTCGGATCTTGCGGAGCATCGCGACTGCCTGCCTGGACCGCTGAGGAGCGCCAGAAGGTCAAATGGGCCTGAGCTGGCGGTGGCATGCCCAAGTCTCATTGAGCGAGCAGGTCCCCGAGTTACGTGTACTATACGTTGGTCTACGGCAGAGGCCAATGAGCCTGAGGCTTAATTGTTTTTGTTGAGCCACAACGGCTACGGAGCAGGAGTGTGGAGTGGTGGGTATGCTGACGCGGGGGTGCGTGTGTTCAGACTGATGGCCTCTAGCTGCACAGAACGTTTGAAGCTGAAGACCCCTTCCGGGGGACGGCGAACGAGAGTGGCCCCAATTGGGGCCGAAGTGCGCCACGGATGGCCGAACGTGGCCCCGATAGGGGCTCGGTGGCAGGCAGGGCAGTGAAGTACAGTCGGATGCAGCGCGCCAAGACGACCTACGGCGCTTTGTGAACGACGAAGCTCTCTGGTGTCCTAGGGGGCCTGCAGTCTGTGGTTGGACCAACGGCCATGGCGACTGCGATGAAGTGGAAAGAAGGAGATGATCGAATGGACGGGGCAGAGGGGACGCCGCGGAAGAAGGCCCGAACGGTCTGACACGTGCGGAAGATGTGGTCGAGAGCTCCAGAGCTCCACGCGTGGAAATCGAGGGTGGAGGTTGTCGAATGCTACCGGGCAGCTTGGGCGTCTGGTGGCACGCTCGTCTCCACGTCTAAATCCGCTTCCAGATTCTGGTCGGAACGCGCCGCTGGACAGGGTAAGGCATCGATTTCTGAGGACGTGTAGGCAGGGGAAGAGTGGCATCATGAGGAGGAGGAGGAGGAGGCGGAGGAGGAAGAGGAGGAGGAGGAGGAACGTCATGACGAGGAAGAGGCGGAATACCAAGACGACGGCGGCGACGACGACGAGGAGCATGGCGCGCACTGGGTAGACTGGGACCCCGCACTGGCTGGCCTCTTCCAGTCCCCTCGCCGCCGCAGTCACGTCGCTTGTGCGCACACGCTCGTGCACTGCAGGACTCCGTAGGAGCCCCAGGGGGATTCGACGGGATGTTGAAACCTTTGGAAAACGTAAGAGCCCCCCGAGACACCCGATGGGATGCTAGAGCCGTGGAAACACGCAGGATCCCCGGGAGACTCGATCCGACGCCAAATCTATTTAAAAACCAAAGAGTTCCAGGAGACTCCATGGGTTGCTGAGTCAATTGGGAAACGTTGGAGCCCCAGGAGACCCGGAGGAAGGCCAATGCTATAAGAAAACGTGGAGACTTCCAGGGGAACTCGATAAGTGACTAAAGCCATAAGAAAACGTAGGAGCCCCAGGAATTTGCGGTAAAGGCGGAATCCTCAAGAAACATAGGAATCACAAGGTGGCTCGATGAGAGGCTGAATGCATAAGAAACCGTGGGATGCCCAGGGAACTCGATACGAGGCCGAATTCATGACAAAACGTACGAGCCTCAACGAGAGTCGATTGGATGTTGAATGTCGAAAAACAGTAGGAGCTTCAATGAAGGGCGATTGGAGGCTAAACCAATGAAAACATGAGGGGCCCAGGGAGAACGGATAAAAGGCTCAATCTGTAGGAAAACGTACGGGCCCCAGGGGGACTCGACAGGAAAAAGAAAACCATAAGGAAACGTAGGAGCCCAGGGACTGCCTAGGACGTCGGACAGCGTAGGAAGCCCAGGGGATTCGACTGGAGACAAAATCCATAAGAATATGCAGGTTACCCAGGGAAACTCGATACGAGGCCACATGCATAAGAATGCGTAAGAGCCCTAGGCAGACTCGACCAGATGTTGGATTCGTCTGAGAACGTAAGAGCCCCAGGGAGCCTCGGGAGAAGGCAAAATCCATGAGAACGTGTATGAGCTCCATGTGAATTTCGACGGAAAACGTGAAAGCCCACAGCTTACGCGATCGGAAGCTGCACGCATAAGAAAGCATAGGAAGCACACGGAGACTCGATAGCAGGCCCAATTCAGAAGCCAACGAAGAGAAAGCTGGGGCCCCGGGGAAACTCGACAGGAGGCTACATCCTTGGCAAAACGCGAACGGCCCTGGGGACTCCATAGGAGGCTGGCTTCAAAAGAAGACGTAGGGAATTCGGGAGGACTGGATCGGAGATTCAATCGCCCCGGTGGAACCCTCCGGGAAGGAATGCTGCCAGACTGCGGCGGCTGATCTGATGAGGGGGCCCGGTCCTCTCGCGCCAGCAGGCTTCTGTAAAGGGGCCCTGGGACACACAAATCAATACACACAACTAACAGGATCCCCTATAGTTCTCAATGTTTTCTGGGGTTTCGTCTTCCCCCCACTTCCCATATTTTCCCATATTTTCCAGGGGATCGACGATGAATTGTGTCTGTGTGTGTTTTTTTCCCTCCTGATTCTGGGAGAAGGGGCAGAGGGAGCGAGAAAAAGGAAGGAGGCGATCAAGGAAGCAGAAAAAAATGCGTCAGGGGCGGGGCGAGTGCGCTTTTCGGAGCTTCGGCGCGGAGCGGTCCCCCGTGGCGAGCACGCGCGAGCAGCAGATTTCGACCTGGCCACAAGCAGCAAGCGGACGAGCGGGGAAGGCGACGGTGACGGGATCGGAGGCGAGAAGGGGCTGGGGGCGAAGGGACATTTCAGGAGGCACGACATGGGTGCATAAGGAAGGCCTCCCTAAACAAAAACGCGGCGGCTTACTGATGCCAGCGAGCCGCGAAGGATCGAAATGGTCCCGCGCGTCGCTGGCTGCGCGCGGCAATTGCGGCGCAGGTGCAGACGGAGAACGGCAGACGCGTGGGTAGAGTGGTAGAGAATACGAGGCAGGCGGAGCAAGAGAGGCACTGAACGATATAGTGGGGAAGGAGGTGGCGCTGGGTGGCTCGCGCAAGCTGGCCTCACGGGAGCGCGAGAAATCACGCGAGTCGCCGGATGGCCGTGCGGGGGGGCATCACGCAGGCACGAACTTGTGGCAGCCGCGCCCTGTGCTAAGGTACACGGCGACGCGGTTGCCAGCTCCGCATTTTACGCAAAACAATTGTTTGCATGGGCCTGACGCGCTTCTGGCCTTGCTGCTGAGGCGGCGGATTTTGGCGATCGCGGCTTCGAACTTCAAGACGCCGAAAGCAGCGCGGAATCCGGAACGCCTGCCCCCGCGGCTCTGGCGCTCGCGGAGCCTGCGTGCTGCGGTGCGCGGGGCTCCCCCGCCAAGCTTGCCGTTGGCGCGGTGGATCTTCAGGGAACGCTGGAGCGCGGCCGGCGACTTGAACGAGCCATCGGCGTTGCGGTACCCGTTGCTTTTGCGCACGCCAGGGCGGTTGTGGTAGAAGGACTTGTTTGGTGCCTGCTGCATACGCGTGGTACGTGGCGTATTCGCAGAGCGCCCGCTCGATGGCGGCGGCATTCGCTGTTCGACCACGCGCAGCAGCGGCCGCATCCGGTGAGAACTCGGACTGCGCTGCGGCGCTCTGACCAAGCAGGGCGCGGAGCCGTTGAGCGCGGGTCATGCCGAGATGCTGCAGAAGCCCGAAACCTTTGTTTGGCCCCAGTGCCCAAGACAGCACATGCTATCAGGGTCGACCACGTCAAGCATCCGCAATGCGATGTCGAATGCAGTGGTCAGGGCGGCGAACGGCATGTGCATGCCACGGTAAGGCCCTGCGTCGCGGGTGGCGAACCACGCCTCCATTAGATCAGCGAGTTCAACCATCGCTGCGCAGTAGCCGTCTGTGAAGAACTGGACCCCTCTGCCGATGCACGTCCCCACATATTGTGGTGAGCGTCCGTCCGTATGATGCCACAACCCTTGGCGTGCCGCTGTTGTAACGTTCGCGACCAGGTCGCGGGACCACCGGCGTCGACACATTGGCCCAGCGAGTCGATGTGGGAGCCCGAGTACCGAAAAACACGTCGAACATCACCTGCTGCCAGACGGTCCCCAAAGAGCCACTGAGACGAGCAGCCCGCTGTGTATCCGGATCGTTGTCTCCAAAGATGTAGGCGAAAACACCAAATTGGAGTATGATGTCCGATGTGAGCACGTCCTCCTTGCGACGCTTGCGCGTGAACATCGCGAGTCGTTCGCCCACGAACGCCCATAACGACAGCCGCGCGAGAAACACTGCTAAGCAACAGGCGCTGTCGAGAGGCTCCTAGAAGAGGCAAGAAACCTTTCGCCTGCGGACAGCACAACTGCAAAGCTTGAGCCAAACAGCCTACACGGTCGGACGGGGATGGAGGAGGTGCGCTCGGAGGAGGCGGGGTAGAGGAGCTGACGAAGAAGTGATGGCCTTGGAGGGCTCGGGAAATCCGTGGATGTCCTTCTTTTGGGGCCGTCTTGGGGTCCTGTGGGGGTCGTTTTTTGACCGTCCTGAGGCCCTCTTGGGGGCCTTCCTGGAGTTCTCCTGGGCCGTGTTTGGGGGCTTGGGCCGTCTTGAGGCTCTCTTGGGGCCGTCTTGGACTCAGTAGCGGGCCTCTTGTGGCCCTTCAGGGGGTCTCTTAGGAGCTCTTTGGGGCACTCTGGGGACTCTGTTGGGCCGTCTCGGGGCTCTCTTGGGCTGTCTTGGAGCCGTCTTGGACCATATTGGTGCCCTCTTGGGGGCCTCGTGGGTTGTCTTCTGCCAACAGTTGGGCCTCTGGGGTCGTCGTAAACGGATGTGACAGCCAAGAAAGCGGGTATGCTGAAAATGCAAGTCTTCCTGAGGGGAATGTGATGGTTCTTGGTTTTTTGGGGGTCCTCTTGGGAGCTCTTAGGCGGCTTGAAAGCTTTTGTGGGCTGTATCGGCGCCAGGGTGGGCCGTCAAGACCGCTTTCGGGCCGTCTCTAGAGCCTTTTGGACCATGTTCGAACGATCCACTGGGCCGTCTTAAGCGACATTGGGGCCATGGAAATCGCCGGGTTCCGTCTTGGAACGGCGTTGGACGCGCCAAGTGTCCGCGAAGGGGCCGAAACTCGTTAGGTGTGGGAGATGTGGGGGGGCCATCCCCGGGGCACATTATTATAGGGGAAGGGGTATATAGTCAAAAAATCAAGGCACTCGCTCCTTGTGCTTGTGGGTCTGCAGAACCCAGGTCTCCACTCGCGGCGCCGTTGTCTCGAGGCGGCGGCCATGGGAATGGGTCGATCCTGTCGTCTTCTCCGTCGTCGTCGTCGTCGTCGTCGTCGTCGTCGTCGTCGTCGTCGTCGTCATCGTCGACGTGGAGGTCGTGCGGCAGTCGCCGTCGCCGTGTCGTCCCCATCGTCCTGGTCACGGTCATATAGTCGGCGGCATCGTCGCCGCTGCCGCCACGGCCGTCGTCCTCCTGGACGGCGTGGCGGTGGTCGCGTGGTCGAGGTCGTCGGCATGGCCGTCGCGGTCGCGGTCGTCGCCACCGCCACCGTCGTCGTTGCCGTCGCGCTGGGCAGCGAACTCCGAGAGGTCCAGGCCCAATCTGAAGCTGATGTTGGTGCGGTGCATCGGCTCCTTTTTGGGGTGCTGGGGGGGAGGCGGCGGGGGGCCGCTGTCCAGGGGCCGGGCGCACGGAGGAGGAGGAGGAGGAGGAGGAGGGGAGGAGGAGGAAGATGAGAAGGAAAAGGGGAAGGAGGATGAGGAGGAAGAGGAGGAGGAGGAGGAGGAGGAGGAGGAGAGGAGGAGGATGAGGAAAAGGAGAAGGAGGATGAGGAAGAAGAGGAGGAGGAGGAGGAGGAGGAGGAGGAGGACGAGGAGAAGAGGGGGGGACTGGGGGAGGAGGAGGAGGAGAGGAGGAGGAGGAGGAGGAGGAGGAGGAGGATGAGGAGGAGGAGAAGGAGGAGGAAGAGGAGGAGGAGAAGGATGAGGAGGAGGGAAGAGAGGGAGGACGAGGAGGAGGGGGGATCGGTGGAGGAGGAGGAGGAGGAGCAGGAGGAGGAGGAGGAGGAGGCGGAGCGTGGCCTGGAGGCGCAGTCCGTGTCGCCGCCGCATATTTCCCCGCATTCCCGCCTGCCGCAGGTCCTGAAGCGCAGCTGGACCTCGCGGGCACCGTCCGAGGAACCGATGGCGAGAGATCGCTCTTCGGCCTCTCGATGTTCGAAGTCGAAGTGCATGTGGGCGTCGCAGAGCCCTGCGTCGAACCAGCAGGAGCGGACGAAGGGATGGCCGTCGGGCTGCACGTGGAACTTGAAGATGAGCTGCTCGAGAATGAGCGGTCAGATGATGATATGGCCTAAGAGCTGCTGGCCGACGACGCAGCCGACGACGTCGAAATACGTTGGCGATGTTTCATCATGGCTTCGTGGAACACACCACGAGCCAGCAGCTTCCTTTGAGCTCCCCGCATAGGTAGACGCACGTGCCTCAGGGTAGCTCGGGGTCTGCGAAAACCGATGGGACGCCAGTCGGTAGTGCTGGAACATGGCCACAACGAATGCAACAGACCCTGTCCGACATAGTCGGCCATGCCGTGTGGCAGGAAGGTTGGCTCTCAAGACCAGCGCAGCGAAGTGGTGGGGCCTTCCACACTCACATAGATAATGGGCAACAGAGCCTCGACCATCAGGGCATCCGTGCACACGATCAGCTTCGCGCTGCATACGAGTGCTGTGACCCAGCCGCCCAGCATCGTCTTCAGTACAGCGCGCCTCCACGCACGAGGGATATCCTCCATCGGGCGCTTAACTTGGGCAGGGCCAATCTCATGAATGCTCTCGTGTTTGGCAAAGCGGCGTCGCCTGAGCTGCCCAGGGCCAGGTGGGAAAGCACTGCGCCGCAGAACGGCCTAGAACACAGCCTGCCACCTCACTCGCGGAAACCACTCAGAGGCATGTGCTCTCGTCACTCTCTCAGGAATTGAATTGATATGGAATTGGAGCTGGCCGCCAAACAACTCAGAGACTGCAGGTGCAATATCCATGCCTCTTCGTCTCCACGTAGATGGAGCTGATAGACCAGCGCGTCTTCGTCTCGCGTCCGATGGATACCCTGCCGCCGCCGCCTCCAGACAACTCGCGAATGGTGGGGACCTCCATAGCGGCGAAGCCAACTGTGGGAGATCCCACCAGGTAGCGAAGTCGTCAGATATCAGCACGCCACGCAGACTCGGTAGGAACGTTCTCCACGACAAGCAGGTGATGAGACTCGTTCGCGTCCGAGCAGCCGCCGCAATGACATGCAGTGGCGAGATCATTTGGCCACCAAGTTCGCGCGCGTTCAAGCAATCACCTATCCTGAGCAGGCTGCTAGGCGATCGGAGCAATCGCGCCACGCGATGCCTCTGACGCTGACTCCGTGCCCAACTGAACGGTGGTGCCAACTGCACCACGTGCAACATACTTGGGAGCACTCTCTCACGGCGCAACTGCAGCATCGAAGAGCGCGGGGCGCCCGACGCAGTCAGGTCCAACAATCGGCTATGCATCTTCGGAGATGGCCCATCCCAATGAGCGGCAACTGTGGCCTCTGGGCTAATCTGGAGGCCAAGATACGCACTGACCTCAGAGATCCCAAACCCTCGCCATCCCGCCTGCACCTCTTCCAGAGCCCCGCGCAAGCACTGCCCCGCACCCCCAGTCGTCGGCCCAAAAGGATGGCCCAACATTGGTAACATGTCAAGCACCGGTTCGCGAACATCACTGCGTTGCGGAAGGTTCGGGCCATCTTATAAAACCGCGGTTGCGAATAATGATGGCGCCAAGATCATCACCATTCGCACGGTCGCAACCCAGAGGAGGCCGAGGGCCCGGGAGACTCACTATCATATCTTCCAAGAACGGATTGGGCGCAATGACGTGGAGCGAACCGCCCAGCGGACGCCCTTGCAGTGCTGCCGAGCCATGCGCGTGCACGACAGGTTTCTGCCACCGTGGAAGCAGAGCGTCAGCCGATGAATATGTCTGCGAGTACGCAACGACGGACGCGACAAACAAAGGCTTTCCAGGCATACGAACATCCATTCTTGACTTACTGGTGGGAAAGCTTGTGCAAAGTCGAAAGCAGTGAGCGCAGGGAGGATCCTCAGGGAACGTGTGGGTTCTGATGCCAGTCTGGCGGGCAAAGATATCGAACTCCACGGCGTTCGCGGGGAGGTTGCGGCCCCTGATGAAGCCGCTTTGGGCGCGGGCTCCTGCCTCCGGGTGGCCGCAGAGAGGCAGCCGTTGAGGACCCCGCAGACCACTTATTGCTAGCGCTCTTCAGCTCAAGGGGCCTCGCGTCTCCAAGGTCTCTGAGGGCCCCATCCAGCTTCGGGTTCGCGTTTGGGGGCCTCCGGGGGCTTCGGCAAGGACGCGGCCAACAGGGCTGCGGCATCATATGAGACGCAGTGGCCAGCGGACACCCAGCGGAGGACCTCGAGGAAGACCTCGGGCCCACCCCCACGCCCCACGCGCAGTAGCGGAGGCCAGCAGGCCCGAAATGCTGCCCAGGGCGCCCGAGAGATAAACCCCGAGACGTCGTCCAGGGGGGGCGGCTACAGGCTGCAGAAGTCC